CATAGTTCTACGTGTTGCTTTTTGGTGGGGCTGGTCGACCAAAAATCTATTGTGGTTCTTCGAGCTGACGTTGGCTTCTGTGTCAGTTGTTTTTTCAAAATTTTCATGGTTCCTCGTGCTCTCATTGGACTTTTGTAAGGACGCATCCCGTGTACGTTCTTGGGATCGCATTGCTGCGGTGTAACAGTTGGTTGCCAGGCTGACATGCCTTTTGTGCTTTCTCACATTCGGCAGGTATCATTTTTTCAGTGTGTAACTCACACGTGTCATGTGCCGTGCCTGTCCAGCTATGTCAGCAAGTTTTTCCATCGTCAAGATTACCTGATTAACCATTGCTCTCGCCTCACATCGTACATATAAACGACTCATACGAGCTTCTATGATTTTCACGGCTTACAAATGGGTGTGGAACTTGCCGATCTATTGTTACATGCTGCGCCTGCAACAGGCTGCACGGGCCATTTTCAGGCCCGTGTCATTTTCAGCCTGAAAGCCTGAAAATGAAGGCTTACAGGCCCCGTGTCAGTTTGAGCCTGAAAGCCTGAAATCCAGGGCTTACAGGCCCCGTGTCTGTTTCAGGCCGAAAGCCTGAAATCCAGGGCTTACAGGCCCCGTGTCTGCTTCAGCCCGAAAGCCTGAAATCCAGGGCTTACAGGCCCCGTGTTTATTTCGGGACGAAAGCCTGAAATCCAGGGCTTACAGGCCCCATGAAGTTTCAGCCTGACAGCCTGAAAACAAGGGCCTATAGGCCCTCAGGCTTTAGACAGAAGCTACCTGGAAACTGTCCGGAAGCTTCCTCAGGCTTCAGTTAGAAGCTACCTGGAAACTTTCCGGAAGCTTCCTCAGGGTCTAGCACGTTTGGGCATTGGCAAGAGCAGCCTCCTGGACGGGCCAGCACTATATAAGACTGGCCCGCCCTACAGGCAGGAGCAGTTGTAGTCTTCAGGATTCGGGAGCAGCACTCTGGAGGGAGCGCTGCAGTGTAGAGTAGTAGCGTTAGCTTGTAGTCTTCAGCACTGGGCGCAGTAGGTAGCTGTAGTCTCCAGCGCTGGGCGCCATAGCTAGGTAGTACTAGAGAGAGAGAGAGAGCTTGGGCGGAGGCCAGAGATACCTACCTGCAGCGCCGTTGCTCCAGCTTCGTCTTCGAGGTACCTGCAGCACAGCGCCAACATCACAGGTTAGTATCTGGTTCGTAACAGAGAGAGAGAGAGAGAGAGAGTTTCTTCTTCTTCTTCTTCTCAGTCCACCATCTCTTCTCTCCCTCTCAACTTCTGACTTCACTGCATTTGCAGACTATGAGTGAAGAGATACGGAGCTTGGTGACATTTGATCCAGACTCGACTTTTGGGGGTTCAGACATGGCAACGAGGGGCTATTTGGGATTGGTGACCAAGACTTGGTGTTAACGACATTCCCATCCTCTTCCCTCCTTTCGTCTGATCCTGATCTCTTCGTCTGTGTATGTCTGGACCTGGCGCTTTCTTCCTGTCTACAGCGCCAGGCTCCTTCACACTTGGTGATGGATACAATGCATGTTTAGTCTGAGTTCAAACATTGATTGGGCTAGTTAGTAGTGCTCTAGCATTCTGCTTCGCTACTCTGAACTACGTGAATGAGGTCAGTCCTGTCAGGTCAGTCTTTGTATCAAAGTCTTCCCTGCGYTATTCAGCACCTTTTTGTATGTATGAGAATGCACATTGTCTGTCGAGATTCCACTCGCACTGTATTGTCCATTCAGTCCTTTTCATCACATTGCAGTTCCTCGTTTAGTACGTACATTGCATATCTGTGTATGTAACATCTATACACAGTGTTACACATGGGTGTCACATCAGATCACCATGCCATGGCGAATGCCTCTGTCGTGTGTTTTCACCTCATCGTCACTGCTTTTCCTTTGTTATGAGGTGTGTTTGACATCTCGCTTTGCTCCATGTGATGTCCATCTCATGTGTTTCCTTTGTTATGACCTGTATTTGACATCTAGCTTTTCATCACGTGTTTTCGCATCATCTGCCACTTGGACACACTAAACTGCTCTGGATATCCATCTGCATTTTTTGTGAAACTGGCAATACAACTTCTGTCTCAACTTGCACTCGCACCTTTTCTTCAACTCTCCCAATATTGCCCCTTCCAAAACCAGTGTGTCTACACTTGACAACCAAGCCATCGTTTCTACCTCACCTGACTTTTGCCGTATACCTCACTGTGTCTTACCTCCACCATAGAACCAACGACAATGATTTATATATACATATACAAACATACATACAGAGAGTCAGAGTGTTACATACTCCAATGAGTATGGGCAGAACCAAGGATCAACCAATGTAGGATGAGCATATATGCAACGGAAGTCTGATGAACGGACTGACTCACATAGACTGACTCACATAGCATCACTCCACACACATACAATCGTGAGGTGGTGGGGTCTGAGCCATGCATAGAGGATGCTCAGCCCCGTACACACATACACAGATGAATGGGGGAGGAGAGACGAAGAGGTGGGGGGAGGTAGACAGCACCGAAAGTCACCGAGATAGAATCTGATAGGTCACCGATATGGTAGTCCAAAATGTCATCCAACAAGATCAAAATGTCGAGKACCATAGGTCACTAATGTCGGGGATACAGAGTCCAAATGTAACCGGTGTCTGAACTGTGATGTCGCCAAGTATCAACCCCAACGATCTCCAAGTCTCCAATCTGGTAAGTACCACAGTCTCATACCACCAAAGTCCAACACTGATCTCTGTCCAACTAGTATAAGTCTCCAATCTGAAGAAGAAGAAGAAGGAGAAGAAGAAGAAGAAGAAGAAGAAGAAGGAGCCGAGGAGGAGAGAGAGAGAGAGGGGACTGGCGATGGGAGGGAGGAGAGAAGCCTCCAACTCCCAATACCTCAGGCGGCTATGGCCGCCGGTGACCCAGTCGCCGCTGCTGCTGCTCGCTCGCTACTGCTGCGCTAACGCTGCGCTGCGCTGCTCCTCGCTGCTCCTGCGCTAAAGATAGCGCCAACACTGATTAGCGCTGTACCATACCGTACCGGTAGAATGCCGGTAGGTCGATCCTGGACTTTGGCTGGACCGGTTCTATATACCGGTGGGGCCGAGGCCGGCCTCAACGCTGCGAGGCCTGGCCGTGCCCTGAACCGTCCAGATGGACGGTTCAGTCCCAACCGGCGGGCGGCAGCGTCAAGAGCGCCGCCAGGCCCAAACGGTAATGTCGTTTGGGCCTGCCCGTCGGGTCTGGTCCAAGGTGAGGCCTTTATGGCCTGTAGCACCCCCAAGGTCGGGCCTTTAGGCCCTGATGTGTCCCTCTAGCCCTAAGTCCGGTCCGGTAGGACCCGTGTGGCGTCGAAGATGTAACACAGAGAGAGAGGGGGGGAGAGAGAGAGAACAGACTGTGAATACCTCCCTTCTTAGATCTAATTCAATACAAACACTTTTCTGAGTACTGCATTCCTGCTATGTGTCTTTTAACTTCATTTTTCGATCAAATTCACAGCTCGCACTCTAATCGATTGACAATTGACAAGCTGCCACTATTTACACCACCTCCTCACCCTCCAATTGTTACAAACCATCTTGTCGACCATGTAAGCCTCAAGAAACGTCCATACAACTTCCTCTCCTGCTGGGAAGGTTTTCACCTTCCGCAGATTCGCATGTTACTTCCACCCTTGAAAAAAAAATTGTTTCCGTATGTTTGACAAAGGTCCTCTGTGTTCCTGGACTGCATTACTCTTACGCATCATTCTATTCCCAATTGCCTTCCCTCTACGATGCACTCCATGCACCTGTTTCTTGTGGCTCTTTTCTGATACTCGAAACATATTCCTGTCTCCAAAGATACCAATGTTTCTCTTCCCTAACCCTTTGAGCTGCGGGCAGACCAATCACTCTAACAGTACAAGATAGAAACCAGGTTTGGTGGTGTAACAACTCATCTACAGATGAGTCTAACAGAACAAAATCCTACTGCATTTCCGGCATGGTGAATTCAATGATGATACCTCACCACTGCTTCCCTTGATAATATTGGGGGGAGAAGAAAAAAAACAGCCCGCGCATTGGGGCCTGAGCTGTGGAGTCGGGGCACACTCAGCTAAGCAATTTGCTGGGCTCATCTCCCCTCTATTACAGACCAGCCTGGATCGACGTGACTCCGATTGCTTAAAAAGTCCCATAATGACTTCCCTGGACACGTCTGCCCTTTTTTTGTAAGGCCCGAGCTGGATGCGCCTGTCGGGATTTACGACCGCAGGTGTGCCCCTTTCTGCCCGACTCACCAAAAATGCGAAATCGAAATGAATCTTCCACTGCAAGGTCCGAAGATGCACGGCCGTAACTTTCTTCATCTGTGAATTTGGTGAGTAGTGTGGTGAGGCCTGTGCCCAGCAGAAAGAAATAAGATAATTGAGCCCCTGGATCGCCAGTGTGCACTGTTTTTCTTGGTGAGTCGTAATCAATTTTGTTTTTCTCACTGTGGACACGTCTGACCTTATGCTATTGTCTCCTCCACCCTCAGCTTCTCACGACCCTCTTCTCTACGGGATGCTAGTCTCGAGTTCCAACTCAACTCTACACTACTCTGTACGCTATAACCTGCAGTACTGTCTACTCTACACCAAAGTCTACTCTGCTCTCTACCATCTACTCCCGTCAACTCTTTTCTTTGCTGTCTGTTCTCTACTGTACTGTACACTGTGTCTACACTTAACGCTGTCTACTCTGATCTACCCTACTCTGTACTCTCTATTTCACTCTATTGTACTCTACTCTATATTCCGCTCTACTCTCTGCGGAGTCTACTCTTCTCTCGCTGTACTCTAATCTCTACTCTCAGCTACTCTCTATTGTCAGCTACTCTCAGCTTTCATACCTACTGAATGGAATTACTCCGCCTAACCCTTTCTGTCGCGGCAGACCTGCGCTGGCTAATCTTGTGTTTGCTTACTTGGTTTGGTTGCGCGTCTTTCTGCCGTCAATTTGCAGGTGATGTGCAGGGGCAAGATTCTTTCATTGGGATCAATGGGGGGTTCCTCTCCACTATCTTGGGGCCTGGAGGCATGTGTGAAGGGTATCAGCTACGATTTGTGGGTCATTCTTTGGGAGGAGCTGTCGCAACTGTCACTGCAATGATTGTGCGTTCGCCTACCCTTGATCACCCAAAACAAACTCTTCTGAAACTAAACTGTTTTGTAAAAGTAAGTTTAAGTAACAATATGTTAGAAATTATTAGAGTCACAAAATATCATCTGCTTAAGTTGGTAAAAAAAAAAAAAAAAAAAAGACTCACAGTGTCATACAGTGTTCGATCAAAGTGATGCTCATTCATACTTGCTGATATTTAACAGGTAATTGCAAGGATTTTGAGCAATAGCGAGATGACAGAATCAGATTGCACAATCACACTGAAAGCCAGAAAGTCCCACAGTGTCCAGGAAGTAGCATTGCACCAATAATACACCAATGGAGAATCGTAACACTGAAACCGATTGTCAATGAGAGCTTACTCTCATCTTCATCAACATAAGAGTCCAGGCCCTTCCGCCTACTGGGCGCTCGGCGCCCAGACTACTTCCACACAGCTACTATCTGCCTAAGAATTTACAATGCAACTGTTGACGTCAGCAGCCACCGAAGTACATGAAGATGTCGCCCAATGCAGACCATCGCCAATACCAGGTACGAGCCCTCACATCATCATCCTCATCTTTATCTCTCTCTCTCTCTTGTTTGTCCACCTTGTCTTCCCTCTTTACACCCGAAGACCACCCCTGCGCTTTGCTGTACTCCAAGCCCAGCCAGCTATGGAAGCTGGGCTATGGCGCTGCCCTCAGCAGCGCCCTCTTCCCACAGTGCACAGCACCTTGCCCCTAGTGCTAGCAGCAGCACCACGAGTGCAGCATGCGAGTGTTCGCTCCAGCAGCACTGCCGCTAACTGGCAAGTGCCTGAATGAGGCTTCAGGCAGCGAGCTCTTTCCTATATGGAAAGAGTCTGCCTGGCCTTCGACCTGGCTGGGCTGGGCCGGGCCTGCGCCAGAAGCTTCCGGTAGGCCCCAGTGCTGCTGGGCCCCGTTCAGTTGCTTCGCCCAACGGTCTGTGTATACTGCTGCGAATGTGGCCCAGGGCCTGCACTTCAGGAAAGGACTAAAAGGCTGTGGAAAATCTTTGCTGCGCGGGTCCTGGGTTCCCTCAACCAACTGACGCGACACAACTGCCTGAAACCCCAAATACGAAATTGACAGCATTGGGCCTCTCGTGATTTGTTAGGCCCGCCTTCATGCACACTTGCATTATGGGCCCCCTTAGGCCTTCCAAGGAGCCTTCTCCCCGCATTCCCTCCTCCTTTACTTTGATAGTCCTCTGAGAAGTTCCTTAAACCACCAGTACACGGCCCCAGCCTTGCGGCAAAATAACTTGTTGCCACAAGAAGTAAAAGGCGGGCTCGGGGCAGGGTTGGAGCATCGGAAGGTTTTCAAAATTTTGGGCCCATGTCAAATCCGTACGTCCCAAAAAACAAAACAAGTTTTGGCCGTGGTTGCAGTTGGATACACTTTTGGAGTACTGCCCTCAGTGAGGGCACTTCGGCAGAACGAGGAACACGGGAAGCACGACTGTCATACTCACAAAAAAAGAACAAAGAAAAAAAAAGCCCCAAAAAGCAAAACAAGCTTTGGCCGTGATTGCAGCTGGATACACTTTTTGGAGTACTGTCCTCAGTGAGGGCACTTCGGCAGAATGAGGAACAAGGGGAGCATGACTGTCAGACTCACAAAAAACGAACAAAAAACAAAAAAAAGTCAACAAAGCTTTGACCATGAAAGTGATTGGATGCATTTCAACGCCGCTAGTGTGAGTATGCCCTCAGCGAGGGCGTTTTGAGCAAGAGGAATATGCGCTGCCTTGCTGGCAGGGAAAGGAAGAAAAAAACAAAAGGAGAAAAAAAGAAAAAACAGCAATGTTTTCCTCTCCCCGTAATAGTGGTCAGATGCATTCTGGAAAGTGATCGTTTGAGTATGGCCTTCGTGACGTCCTTCCACGACACATTATTGATCTCTGGCATGTTTTTTCCTCTTTTTTTCTTTTTTTTCCCTTCAGGTAGACAGCAGGCACCGGCGCCACTTCCCAAATTCCCACTGCAGGTACCCACACGCAGAAGACTCGGAAAATACCGGCGCGCAGTGGGCAGGTAGCTTTGGGATTTTAGGTGCGGGTGTACTGGTGGTTTAATCTGCAGGCAAGTTTCCCTTCTGTTGGGCAGTATTTTGCCACAGTTCGCTTGTAAAGCGGACATCCCTGTCGCTGACAACGGACTTGGGTAAACCAAAGTCCCGTACCCAGTTATCCATAAACAATCTGATGACGTAGTCAGTTTTAGCGGTTTCTGGCATAGCGATTAGCTTTGCATACTTGGAAAACCATTCCACTATAACGGAGATGTGTCTCTTCCCACTCCTGCTGGTCGCAAGAGTATCCATGAAGTCCATGGACACGTTTTGACCAGGACCTTCAGGTATC